TTTAACATGCAATCCTGATAAAACTGTCAGCAAACCAGGACTAGAAGGAAAACTCCTCAGTCTGGTGAAGGGCATTTTGGAAAAACTGACAGCTGACCTTGCCCTTACTGCACCGCATGGTCCAGGAGGGCACATTAGCATCACCAGGAGTGGGCCAGAAACAGCCTCACGCCTAGTGGAGCCTGGATCCGGAGGCCCAGCCGGAGCCTCGGAGGTGCGGATGCACAGGAAACTGAGAAGCAGCATGGTGAACCTGATTCGGGATGGGTACTAATTCTCAATCCCTTCCCTAAGTCACTGCACGCTGAGAGAACACTTGATTGTGTTCGAACTTGAACCTTCTCTTCCTAGATGTAAAATGGAGATATAAGTGTATGTCTGAAGGTTGCTGTAAGAAATGTTAACCAGTATAAAATGTTTAGCGTGGTTATGTGCTGCTGCTGCTGCTGTTTTTCAGCAGATTGTTAAAATCCTTAGTGGATTCACACTATAAAAGTGGATTTGTAGAAACTGAGAACTAAAATAACATCTAGTTTATTTCTTCATCTTATTGATAATGAAACTAAATTCTGGAAAAGTCAAGTAGCTTCTCCCAGGTTGGAAAGAGCTCTCTGACATGCTCCCTGCCACGCTATACAGGTTGGCTTATTTAATTCCATGCTAACAAAAGGAATCTTTAAGAAGGCCAAAATGGCCACTGGTCTATGCTTTCTGTGCACATCAGCTGAAATATTCTGTTTTTGGGCTGGGAGCAGCGATAGGTAGCAGACAGCTTGCTAAACCTGTGGGGCCCTGGCTTTGATTCCCAGCATCACACATACAAAATCAATTATTCTGAAACTATATAAAATGTTTTCAGAAATGTTTATCAAAAATATGAACAAATAGCTTTTGCCTTAGAGACAGAAGGTAGAGTGCTTTATTTTTCCCTATCAGTACAGAATATAGAAAGAACAAAAGTTATAATCTCAGGAAAAATGTCTGCCCGAGATACTGTCTAATATTTTTCATTTTCTACCAGAAGTTATGTATCAGTTAGTGATATCTTTAAACACGGCAAATAAACGTATAGTTAAGTTGGAGAAGGTGGTGAATATTGTGCATTCAGCATACAGATGCTAGACTAGCCGAACCAGACGCTAGCCATGTACTTGGCAGGTAAATTGATGAGAACATTAAAGTGTTTAGTTGTTCAACTTTGATTAGCACCTTTAACTCTTCACTGTTGTATTACACAGTTACCAAACTGCTTCGCGAAGCTGTATAAAGCTCGGAAAATGAGCCTGCTATTGTTCCCACTCTTGCTAAGACCAGCACTCAGGGAGGCTGAGACTGGAGGATTGCAGCAGATTGGAGCACAGCCTGGGCAACTTAGTGGCTCATTCAGACCTTTCTCCAACAAGGAAAATAAAAAAGGCAGGGATGTAGCTCCATGTGAGGGCCCCGGGTTGTTGAATTCCCAGTATCACAAACACATATAAAAGAAAAAGAAAGCTGTAAAACGATTAGCAAATGATTCAGAAAACCATTCGGTAAAAAAGAAAGAAGAAAGAGAGAAAACTGGTGGTGATTCTGAGAAGAAACTGCTCTGCTTTTCAGAGTGGCCCTTGTGGAGGCTGAGTGTTCGATGAACAAAGTCTAAGCCCCCGTGGATCAGTTTCCTGCCCACGAAACGAGGTAACTGGAAGCGAGGCATGGGAGAATTAACGGACGCATATGCAGAGACCTGTGCTGTGAGCAGAAGCAAATAATTGTTTGTGGAAAACAGAAGTATTTTCGCACCGGTGTGCTGAAGGATTGGCCTTTTCTCAAAGGAACGCAATCCGAATAACTGGTGTTCAAGTATTCACAAGCTCCAGCCTTTGATGACTTCATTTAAAAAAAGAAAACAATCCGATCACTGCTGTGAAGCGCAAAAGCGAATATCTTTGTATCTCAAGGGAGCTAACGAGAAAATTGGACATAATTTTATTGCATGCCAAGGAAGCCTAAACCCAGATCAAAGATGCAAGTAAGAGTGCCCTGTGGTCTAGAAGTCAAAGAAAACACCTGTGTTATAGACTGTTGGTAGAGCAGAGAGAAGTTTTGTTGCAATATGATGGGTTTGTTTGTTTTTTGAGAGAGGGTCTGGCTTTATAGTTCAGGTTGGCCCTGAACTCACTATGTAGCCCAGGCTAGCCTCAAACTCATGGAGGTCCTCCTGCCTCTGCCTCCTGAATGTTGGTGAGTTACAGGTGTGTGCCACCACACCTGGCACAGGATGATGTTTTAATAAGAATTGGGCATCCAACCTTTCTAGTTCCCTTTGTAAACAAAGGAGTCAAGCATGTGGTCTGTGCCTGCAGCTTGTGACTTCATTTTTGGAAAACTGTTCTAAATCCTAGTAAGCAAGTTCTACCTTGAGGAGGGACACCAGATACCACCATTCATACTCTCAGGGGCTCTTCGTGAAGCACTGGGACCATGGAAACAGCAGAGGAAGCGGTTAGTGAGGGAGAGGCCTGGCGTGTTTCAGAGGCTCAGAGGGGTCGGGCGTGAACTCGATGTGGCTGGGTGTTTCCCTCAAAGACTCCCTCAGTGCACACCCGTCACTCTTCTCCTCCTGCTTCTCTCTCAAAACTTTGAAATTTTCTTGAGAAACTAGAGAGTTTAAAGAACTGAAGAGGGACCAGCTGGGCTCAGACTATCATGCAAGACTCTCTTATTTGGAATATTCTCTTTAATGGAACTAAAAAGAAAATTGGGACAATAATGTGAAAAATGGAATTGATTCTTACCGCCATGGAGAGCTCTAAGAGACTGACTGAAGGTATTCTGAGCTGTCAATTTACAGGGTATGGTTATGCTCAAGAAGTATTTTAAAATAAATGGTACCAAGGGGGCCAGGGATTTAGCTCAGTGGTTCCGCTCCCTGCCTCAAACACACAAGATCCCAAGTTCGATCCCTATTACCAAATAAATACATAAATACTGAGGATAGTAAGTATACAAATATGGGGGAAGTGAAGTGTAGGATATTGAAAGGAGAGGAGGGAACAAATGCAAGCAGTCAAATATTTTCAGGCACAAAGAAAGGTTTGTGCTGCATGGAATTTAACTGCAACTACGTCAGTGGTATATGTACAACTGGATGGGGCTTCCTGTTTGATTCTTTTCATTGTATTGGATGAATTAGCAAAATTTCCCTAGAAACCACTGGAAACAGCAGTAAGTGATTTGGGATGTGGTCTCCCTCGGCCCTGCCCCTCTTGCCTGTATGATGTGCGCAGGTTGGCGGAGGCGGCTTCCAGATATGGGAGGAACTGCTTTACTTCAAAGCCATCAAAGGAGCATGAGAGGGACACGGCTTAAGGGACTATGGCTGGTGACACGTTCCCATCAAAAGATGTGGATGTAAAGAAGCCAGGTACAAGAGTGCCGGTGTTCCGAAAAAAACAGGCCTTTTGTTCTCCAATTAGCCAATTTTGAGATATTTTCATAACAAATGGCTCCATTTTTCTTCTACTAAAATATTAATGCCATTGATAACAGCACTAATATTTCTTGTCTTATGAGGAGGTGAATTATTTATTTAATTCTGATTATGCTCCTTTGAAGGTTTTAAAACACTTCATCCATGTTTCAAATCTCCAAATGTTTTCTAGCAAATGATAGGATTACTTTGAATTTCCATTTAGTATTTTCCTTGTTTTTTTTTTTTTGTACTGGGGATCGAACTCAGGACTTTGTGCTTACAAGGCAGGCACCGGAACCACTGAGCTAAGTCCCCAGCCCTCCACTTAGTATTTTCTACAGACAAAAAAAGTCAAAGCTAAACAGTTTTCTCCCATGCACACAGTCACAGACATATCCGTCCAACCTTCCTGCTGTTCTCTGCATAGACTTGATACATATGATTTTGTCCACAGCAGGGAGAGCTGCCTACTTAGAGCAGTCCCTTTTGTTACAGAGCAAAAATAAATCTGTCCAACTTCTTTCTGCAAAGTTGAAAATAAATCTGTCAGGTTAAAGAAAGGGGACTGCCTCCTGCAGCTGTCTCATCCTTTTCCCATTGTTGTCCCTAGAATGTGTCTGGGCTCCCTGCGAATGGCAGATGCCCCTGTACTTCTCTATGCTGATTGACCCTCCTGTGAGCCAGCCCGAGGGTCACGTCTGCCCAGAGCAAAACCTCTCTCCCATGCAGAGGGGCCAGGAGAAGTAAACGAAACTTCCCTGTGGCTCCTGTGTGTGTAAAAACACAGCTCTTGCCCACAAACAAGCCTTTTAATTTCTTGTCTGTGGGTATAAAACCATCTCTTCTTGTTGGAGTTGGTGTGTGGCTCATGTTAACAGATAACAGCCACACCCTCCTACACCTACTCCTTCTGAGAAGCCTAGAATTCCTGTAATACAGGCGAGAGTAACAGCTAGATTGTCTTAAGCCATCGAGAGTAAATGTATGTGGCCAAAACCCACTCCTCCCCATGCCTTGTCCCAAGGAGTGGCTCTCATATGGGCCCAGGTAGAGAGCTGTCCAACAGCTGTGTCATGGTGGCTCAGAAGTCACTGAGGCGGGACACAGAAGGATGGTCATAGGGGCGTGCAGGTGGGCACTGTTCCTGAATTTTGAAATCAAGGTGAGGAACTTGAAAGCTCCATGGAAAGAGCTGTCCCCTGTGCCTCTAGAACAAGGACATCTTCCTCTCAGGAGTGTGGCTTATTTGAGGGATGGCTGTGTTATTTAATAGCCCAATGGGGGCATTACTGGAATGAAATAGGGGGCCACTGATAGTTACTTTGGGTAACAGAAATAATCAGGACTATCTAAGGCAAAACAGGATGTGGTCTTGCCCTACTGAGTTAAAAGTAAGTCAACTCACATAGCAGTCCTTCCATCCTTCCATCCGTCCATCTGTCCATCCACCTGCAGATCATTTTCTACTGTTTACAAAAGCCTCACATCTGTTTTCATTCTTCTGTTCCTTAGTAAATCAAGTCTACTTTTGATGTTCCTTCCCCAGTGAGGCGGAGTGGGCTGCGTCCTGGACACATTTAAGGCTTGCTTTTGAGACTGTCAAAGCTGGAGAAGAGAGATCAGCTTCTCCTGAGGACTGCATACAGAGCACAGCACAGTTCTGAGGTACAGCTGCTCTGTTAACTTAGGAAGTTGCTTTTATCTCTGTTGAGAACTGAAAGAGAAGACACAAAAAGGCAAAAATTCCCTCCATTTTTTAGCTGTTTAGCAACCTTTGGGGCCAGATGAGGATTAATTATGTGGGTGTTGTGGATGCAGGAATGGAGTGCAGTTCTGCTTGATTCAGTGTGAATAAAACAAAACGCTCCTCCAAGCCCGGGCTGGTCATCCAGGCTGCATGCTGATGTGGTAAAGCACATGCTGGTGCAGTCTACCAAGGCAGATTTGTTCCGGGAACAGTGCTCAAGGACTCGGTGGGGCAAGTTATGTGTGAGTATGAAAGATAACCTCAGAGAATTACATTCTGACCCAGAAGGGCTTTAGAGGTCTTCTGTCCAACCCTCACATTTTATGGAAGAGGAAACTGAAACCTGGAAACGTGAAGAGATTTGCCGACAGTAGCAGAGCCTAGACCCGTCTTCCCGGCTCCTTTTCTGGGGCCTCTGAAATGGCTCGAATCTGCTGTTGAGCGCAAGCACACGCTCCGTATCATCATGGGTCACACTCGGGCAGTGGTCTCCTTCACATGTGAGGTGGTTCAGTGTCGGCACGCTGCTTATCTCTGTGTGAAGTTTCATTTCTGCTAATTATCAAGGGAAACTTGGGGAAACCACTCCTCATGTGGTTTTTCTTTCTGGCTAAGCTAGATGGGGTTCTTTCAATGACCCCTTCAGCCTAGATGCCCAGCGAGTCAACATTTCTGCTGCCATTCCATGACGTGGGGGTCCTTGGGACAATTCTCATGTACATGTGCTCCCTCAATGACTTGCATAGCAGAGCCCATGGGGCTGTAGGGAGGTAGCTGAGGACCAGGTTAAAAATTTGTGGGTTTTAAAGTCATATTATTAGTTTTGCTCTTGCTTCTCTTCTCTATTTGCCTACCATTAGCTCTCCTTTCTCACTCATCCTTTTTTATATTTCTCTTTCCTTTCAATTTAATATAAAATTTATCACCATGGCATTTATTCTCATATAACATAAAAGCAATGCAAATATCAAAGTAATAAGAAAGGAAGGAAGAAAATACTCATGAATTTAATAAGCCCACTTTTTCTCTCCATAATCAGCCACATATTTGTAGGAAAAGCCACAGATGCCTCATGTGGAATAAGAACTTGCCTGTGATCAGCAGGAAGGCATTTTCTCCCAGCAGGCTGAAAATCAAAACTGACAGCAAAGTTTGACAGAACCTCAAGGACTCGAATGCTCTGCAGAGACCAAGTTCAGATTTGACCAGCACAACAGAGCGGTGAAGGAAGGCAAGAGTGGCGCGAGCGTGTGTGGGCCTTGCTGGACTTTACCCTTTGGGGGCTGTCAGGTTATCCTGGGAGAACAGAACAAAACACTTCTTCATACTTCAGCTCTGGACCAAAATGAACAATGTGCTCTGTGGTATTGATCGACTATTTCAACACAGCTCACAAAAGAACAGAGAAGAGCAAAGGGAAAATGCAGCGGAAGTGATCTGAAAAGAATGACAGATGTCTGTATTTCCTCGTTAGGCTGTGTCGATCGTTCACCACCGAGCCTCCACCAGAAATCTGTGAGCCTGCAGCGGCGCTCAGGGCTGCTATGTCTCACACGAGCACAAACACTGAGCAGCAATTCTCTTGACACAGTGCGAGCGTCTTCAGTATCGTCTCTCCAGCTTCTCAGCGTTCAGGGTTGGCAGGGGGACACGAAGAAACTCCTGTTTAGTCTCAGTGGATACCAAAAGATCTGGTTCTCAGAGAAAAGCAGATTTTGCTAACTGGAGTTCCCCAGAGGAACAGCATCTCATGCTTGTCTCTCCTACTTTTGAATGTATAGATTTCCAATAATTGTAAGACCATAATTTCCCCTCCTTTTTAATTATAAGAGATAAAGAATATGGTAATAAAAAGCCCTTTATTCTTTCACAGGAAAGAAATGGGTAGCATAAATTTGGTTGCGTGGAAAATACTGTTCTCTATATGCACATAAGCTCTGTATTTTTATTAACTCAGCCCTTTAAAAGGAAAGAGTCACCATTGTGTCCATCAGACCAGAACATATGAAACTTAAGCAGAAACTACTCTCAAAGGAGAGCGGCTCTAGAGTCAGCTCTGGAGTCATCGATGAATTTGTGTACAATGCACAAATCTCACCTGCAGAAGTCGGCTGTGGACAGTGAGGGCGAAGAACATCCATGAACTGGACCACAACAAAATTAGAACCTGTGCATCAGGGACAAAATCCATACCATGAAAGGCAACCTAGAGAATGGGGGAAAATGTGTGCAAATCATCTATCTGATGAGAGATTTATATCCAGAATCTACAAAGAATACAAGCAACTCAGCAGTACCAGAATCATCAAATAACTTTTACAATGTGGGCAAATGATATTAATAAATACTTCGCTAAACAAGAGACACAATGGTAATAGGTGAAACAATGTTCAGCATTGCTAATCACAGGGGGTGCAAATCAAAACCACTGTGAAATATCACTTTACACCCATTATCATCGTCATTCTCAAAAAAAAAAAAGCAGAAAATAACACGTCTTAGCACCTACGAAGAGAGACTGGAAGCCCCACGAACCCCTGGTGGGAAAGTAAAATGGTATAGTTGCTATGGAAGATGGTGTGGCCACTCCTCAAAAAATAATAAACAGAATTACTAAACCATTGAGCAGTTCCATATTTAGGGATATCAAAAACAACATACTGAAAAGATATTTGAAGTAATTATTTATTGATTGATTTATTTATTTTGGTGCCGGGGATCGAACTCTGGACCTTGTGCTTTCGAGGCAGGTGGCAGCACCACTGAGCTAAATCCCCAGGGAAGTGAGAGGGGAAGAGGAAAGGAAAGAAGGAAATAGAATTAATATGCGAAAAAGAAAAAAATGGAAACAAAATCTTTGTAGATAGGGAGAGGTGGAGGGGATGAAGAGAGGGCAGGGGAATGGGGAAAAAATAGGAACCAAGATGGATTATGGTAAAGGTGCCAATTTCTAATGATGAATGTCATTATATTGCATACCTTAAATGTGCCAAAAATTAATTTTAAGAATAAATACTATTTTAAAAGGTTATATGGTTCTTACAGAATTATGTAACCTTTCAGAATTAGGCACTTACCTCCCAGAGCCATTGCAGCCAAATAATGGCACTTTAAATAATTTAAACAGTTCTCTGTAAATAAGGAGGGATGGAGAGGTTGGAGGGAGGGCAGGGAAATGGGGAAAAATAAGAACCAGAATACATCATGTAAAGGTACAAATTCCCAATGATGAGTGTCATCGTATCGTATGCCTAAAATGTACCAATAAACTTCACAAACAAAAAAAGAATTTAAAAAAGAAAAGCTATTTGGATATTTATGTTCAAAGCAGCATTATGCACAATAACCCAAAGGTGAGAGCAGCTGAAGTGTTCGTCGGTGAGTGACGGGAGGCAGGGTGTGGCACACACGTACCACGGGTGCTATCTGTCTGGAGAAGGAAAGAAGCCCTGACCCTCGCTACCCTATAGATGAGCACCGTAGGATCCCACTTACAGGGGATCCCCAGCAATCGCATTCAAAGAGGTGGAAGGAGAATGAGGACTTGAGGGAGGGCAGCGGGCAGCTGTCTGAAGAGCCGAGCGCTTCAGTGTTTTAAGGTGAAAGGGGTTCACGATGGGATGCGAAACACTGCGAATAACACTACCGAACTGTGTGCAGAAAAGGTGCAGATGGGGAGTTGTATTGATGTTCATTTTGCATCTTTTAAAAAAGAACTGGAACGAGAACACCAACAACCATAAACTCTAGTTTTTGGATCACCTAGTGAGTACTTCCTCTTTGTCATTCTGTGATAGTACTTGAACATTGTGGATATCCATCCTAGGAAATGTGTACTTTCCCAGAAGATATGGTAAAATATGAGTAAAGGTCAAAGCGCAATGACAAAAAAACTCAACAGACCCTTGTAATTAGTGGGGTGGTAGAGGAAGCCACCCTGGCTAATGAGGCCGAATGTGCCAGCTCAATAGAAATGGTGAGGTGCTCCTTTCCAGAACAGGAATGTGCGACTCAAGCAAACAGAGTAGTGAACACAGCACAAGCTCCTCTCATTTTCTTTCAGAAATTTTACCGCCAATGTCAGTTTCCAACAATTTTATTAAACACTGGTGAAAACAAATTCTTTTTATTTGGCACACCTGCCACCAGATAGTTTAAATGATAGCACATTCTGCTGAAACCTGGGACCTTTTTGTTTGGAAACCACTTCGTATAGTTATAATCTCCTCCTTCCAGCTCACCATAAATGCTAGAAATAGTCAAGAGTTCAATGGCAAGTAAGGAGCCCACTCTAGGCTCCTGGAATTCAGTCGCCCTTGATTTTGAACAACTCCAGAGCTGCAGAGTCGCCCCTGCCTGGGGGACTCCACACTCATACAGAATCCCCTCGCTGCCCCCCAAGGATCCCGAGCCCAGCTGTCCTCTGGAAGGCTCTCACCGTGACCTGCAGCCTGCTCCCTTTTGCTTTTCCTTTTTCTTTCACGCACCAAGACCCAGACTAAACAAACAGTGTCCTGTCTGTAAGTATCATGTGTATATATATGTGACTGTCTAAGACAAATCAAATATAAAATCAATGTAGAAATAAAAATGCCCTGAGATGCACAGCCACCAGCAGAGCCCCTCACTTCTTCTGAATGGAGGCGTCTCTAAAACAAACTCCAAGTGCATGTGCTAAATAGATCACAGCTCGCTGAATCCGATTTGCCCAGCCAGTCTCGCAAAAAAGCCTTCCATGTGCTTGCTGAAGTCTGGAGTTGGGAGAGGTACCATCCCTGTGAGTTGACATGGGATCGGGGACCAAGGGCGATGCTCTGGCCCTGGCCGTGGGGTTCACAGGGCTGGCAAGGGAACAGGCCCCTGAGAACACGGAGCCAGGACACAGAATGGCACGGGAAGAGCCCTGGCCCCTCCATGGAGTTTTAAATGTGTGTGAGGTTCCATCCCCTTTCTTCTCCACTTCTTCGTACTTTGCTGCTAAAACGTTCAGATGTTAGAGTTCCAACTTCGTGCAACACTTATGCATTTGTTCACATGCTTGTTAAAAATGTTATTCGTATCTCAACCAAAGAAAAATACAGTGGGGTTTTATTTAGTTAAAATGTCGCGCGTCCCCCAGGGAGCCGGAATAAGGGCTGGCAGCTGAAACAACACACCCTGTATAAAAGCTTGGTGAAGAGAAGGCTCTGCAGAGACGGGGTCCACACAGCACAAAGCTGCGTGTCTCCAGGGAGGTCGGTGTGTCTGTGCCCACAGCCTCGTCAAGGACCTTCCTCAAATGCCCGGTTCTTTCCCTTTGAAGAGAATGCTTCCATGAGGCAGTGACGTGCCAGGGTCTCTGGCGACGTGCGAGTCGCTGTGGTGAGTGGTTCTGCTCTCCCCTTATGGAACAAGCACCGCATTGTAGCCCTTCACAGAAAACTCCAGCTGTCCCTTTACACGCTAGCCTTTTGGCAAAGGTTCAGATTTTTTTTCTCCTTTGAATAGTCATAATTCATCAGGAGAGCCAGACACATGGATTTCTTGTTCCAGCAGACTGTATTTCTTTGGCTATCTTATCCCTAACTGCTCCCTGCAAACCTACCCCTCTGTGCTGGTAAACTAGAGCGAACCAGTTGCATGAACCAGCAAATAAGACTTTAAAAAAAAAACACTTTCTGAGACACATGCAACATTTATTGCCAATTTTGATTCAAGTCGAAAGGAAAATTGCGTAAATCGGTTATTAGGAGTTGCAGGTGTGCTCGGAGAGGGAGAAGGCTTCTTATTCAGGAACTATAGATAATCCTGCTTATAAAATTTCCCTAGTTGTATTTCTTTTCCTCATCCCTCGGGGAAATGCTGTAAGCAGGAAACCACATATGCGCATTAAAAGTGAGGTGATAAGCTAATTCTACCAGACAGTACTTTTGGGAAATGACCGTGAATTTTGAAATTCTGTTGACTCTTCAAAAACTTCTGATTTACTGGAAATCAGTTTTAACCGATTCACTAGATATCACTGTGTGGGTATGCATATCTTTTATACATGCCCGTGGATGTACCTCCCCAAGAACGGTGCCCTTTGCACTGGCAGGTCTCTGTCCTGTCCTGCTGTGTGTCACGAGGGAGAACAGACAAGCAGTGCCCCATCCTTTGCTGTCTCTGGTTTTCTGTTGGTCCCTAAGCTGTGCTTCATGAGTTCTCACTGGGGTGGGAGCATCCATGTGAGAAGGGAATCAGCTCTCTCAAGAAGCAGAGTCTTTTCTTCTACACAGCTGACCTGAGGTGAGTCAGGCTTGAGGAGTCAATATCTTTTGGACAGACACAATCTTCAGAGCAGGCTGCATGCATCTCCCCCACGTGGGGCCTTGCGGCACGTTTACACAGATGGAGAAAGCTGTGTGTGTCATGGGAAGATCAGGCTGCAATGGCTGAGGTGAAGGGTAGTGAGGGAAGAGATGGAAGAAACGAGCAGGCCTCCAGTGTGCCTGGGACTTGGGTGGTCAACGGTGAGCCAAGGAGAAATAATTCTGGTGCCTGGGGACCTCTCCAGCTTGAAGAGTCAAAAACAGGTTGTTGACACAGAGATGGACCTTGTGTGATGCGGTCCAGAATGCATCTTTCCAGACCATCTTAAGTCTTTGCAGAGATCTGGTTTGGACCCTGTCCTGGGTCTCCCAGTCTTCTCTCAGGACTGAGGACTTGCTCCATCACCAGGTCAGAACACTGAGTCATGCTGCAAATGAGAGTTAGGAGTGGGAGCTATGTTCTCCTCCAGAAGAAGCAGCTGTTATTTATTAAGCAAAATGTTTGAAGCCCAGTGCT